AAACTCGGTCCTCTGCAAGAGCAACAAGTGCTCCTGACTGCTTCTTAATATTTCTTCATATTCGTTTTGGATGGTAAATATGGACTGCTAGCATTACAATATTGTAAAAGTCTCATTTGGAGGAACTGCACCATTAATTAGAGATTTGCTTACTTTTCTGAAATTACATGTTCGCTGACATTTTAGTACTCATTTTTGTTACTATTTATAACACCTTAAGAAAATAAGAATGAGGATCGATTAGGGATGAACTTAGGAGAACTGTTGTTTTCTTTTTTGCTATTTATTTGTTTATTGAGACTTGTCGTTTATTTACTTATTAATTTACTTATTTGGTTGTTTACTTATTGAGGCAGGGTCTCCTTACATAACTCTGACTGTCCTGGAACTCATTATGTAGACCTGACTGCCACTTTCTCCAGAGTGCTGGGTTGTTAAAGGCACATGTCACACTGCCCAACCTTGTTTTATTTTTCAGATGAGATAGTACTGGGTGTGGTGGCACTCAGGAGGCTGAGGCAGGAGGGGCTGCATATTGAGATCCTGCTTCAAAAATAAAGAGTACTATGAGCAATGTTAAACTGCCTTAGCAATTGAATAAAATATAGTAGGATTTTTCAAGTATTATTGTCCCTATCCCTAAGAGACTATCCAGTGCTGAAATATAATTACTTGAAAGAACTTTATGATGTAATTGGAAGTATAGATAATAGTTGTTATTGTCAGGACAGTGTAACCTGATATTGACTGTATCAGCAGTGACTTAGTGTGAAATAGTGCGTTATTGGAGACTGGCATTGTGATGTGCAGCAATGCTTAACTTCTGGTTTAGGGTAATCCCTTACTTAAAACAGCAACAAAATACCTCCCTGAATGAATATAGGTATCATAACATACCTATCATAGAAGAGGCAGTTTAGAGACTCATAGGACACTCTTATGTGAATTTCTGATCATAGCATGAGATTTCTATAATTTGTTTTGCATAGTGGTCATTATTTTAGTTATCAGTTAGATGAAGTCATACTTCATCTTAAATATTAGTATTGCTATTTTGGTATTCTAATTTTAAACATTAGCTTTCTTTATTGTGATTTATTTAGGTAGCTTGTCGTACTTGTGGAATGGGAGTAGCAATACAGACATCAGAGTAGTAGATTTTAACCTGTGGGCCCACACTTAGGTCTATGTTGACTGACATTTCAGAAAGAAGACACTGAAACAGAACACATTCATGTAAATGTGTAAGTGATGGTAGTCCTGCTCTGTCTGGGGTTGTGTGGACTAAAAGCATTTCCACCTTAGTGCTGGGAATAGGCAGGCAGAGTTGAATGGGACTTTTAAAATTTGTCTAATAATCATACTTTCAACAAATAATCTTGCCTTTCTACAGAAAAAAAAAAAAAAGAGGTCATAGTATGGCAATTTCTTTAGTTTCCTAGTACCAGCACTACCAACTTTGTCCTTGTCTCGTCTTATAAGTATCCTTGTGAATTAACTGAGTTAATAAAAGTCAAGGAAGATTTTTCTTTTCCAAAGGAGTCTTGTCCTCCTAACTACCCCCACCACAGACCTCCTTGACTTTGCTGTTTTTGGGTCTTCAGTTGAAAACATTTCTTCTAGCTTGTGCTCTAAAAGGAATTTGAAAGAGCTTTCAGATGCCAGTTTGCATTTGTGCTCTTCTAACATTTTTGTTTTGTTTGTTTTTTCGAGACAGGGTTTCTCTGTGGCTTTGGAGCCTGTCCTGGAACGAGCTCTGTAGACCAGGACGGCCTCTGTAGACCAGGATGGCCTCGAACTCACAGAGATCCGCCTGCCTCTGCCTCCCGAGGGCTGGGATTCCGGCTGTGCTCTTCTAACATTAAATTTTAGGATTTTTTTCTCCCGTGACAGGGTTTCTCTGCAAAACAGCCTGACTGTCCTGAATCTCACTCAGTAGACCAGATTGGCCTTGAACTCAGAGATCCACCTGCCTCTGAGATTGAGGCCTGTGCTGAGATTAAGGCCTGTACGACCAGCCCAGCAAAATACAGGATTTCTTTAGTTCTAGTTTCAGCTCCATGGCCACCTCACTTAATAGTTCCCAAAGGAGTCTCATGACTTAAGTTTCTACTCACAGATGACTCACTAATTTGTATCTTTAATCCAGACCATTTCTCTAAACCTCTCTCTCTCTTTTTCTCTCTCTCTCTCTCTCTCTCTGAGTGTGTGTGTGCTAAGTGTACATGTATGTATGTATACACATTTGCATTATGTCTTAGCTTAGGTTCAAAATTGACATTTGGAGGAAGCTCAGTCACTCCTAACCTTAGTTATTGAGGCAGGATCTCTAGTTGAATCCAGAGGTAGCCATCTTGCTCCTGTGTTGTCTTCACTTTCTGAGGGCCACTGTATTGTCCCCTCCACTCCCAGCTCAGAATCTTTTGGCTTTTAAATTCATGAATTAATCTTTAGATTCCAATCAGTATTTTCTTGTGGAGAGTTGGTCTTAATTCTTTTATAGTAGTCACTACAGAAAAATGCATTTGTTTGTGTGTCATCAATCACATGATGATTATCTTAGGAGAGAAATCAGAGACCGTTTTTTCAAATGTTGGCCACACATTCATATTTCTCTTTTTTAAAAAAAAATATGCGGCTAGTGAGATTGTTCAGCAGTTAAGAGTGCTTATTGCTCTTGCAGAGAACTTGAGTTCTGTTCTGTTCCCAGCAACCATGATATTCAGCTCACAACTATTTGTAATTCCGGCTCCAGGGTTATCTCTGGTCTCTGGGCATCCACACACATGTGCAAAGACAGACACATATAAACTTTTTGTTTGGGTCCTGTTCCCCTGCCCCCCTAGACAGGGTTTCTCTGTAGCTTTGGTGCCTGTCTTGGAACTAGCTCTTGTGTGCTGGGATTAAAGGCTTGCGCTACCACTGCCCCAGTACACATAAACATTTTTTAAAAATAATAAAAGAAAGTCCTAGAGTCATAGGATGTTATTTAGTGTGTGAAACATGACTTAGCAAGTATTGGCAGCATTTTTTCTGTGTAGCTTATTTGGGAGGAAGAATGCCTGAGCGCATGAATAGGAAATGGATTCGTATTTCAGCTTTAATTATGCTGTCCTTAAAAAAGTCTTCTCCCCTCTGTCTTTGCAAACCAAGTTAGATTCTAAGTTTGCATTATGTAACATTTTTGTCTAAGAGGCATTCATTCATTTAGCCTCTACATGAGGAAGAAGAAATGCTGTAACCACTGCAAGGTCAGTTTCTGTTATTTCACTGGTAGTATAAATCCACTGATAACTTGAGATACCTCAACAGCTTACTGTAAACCCTTTAAGTAACTATAAATTATTTTGCCTTTGTGACTGGTGAGTTGGACTAAGCTGAATTATTAACTCTGCTTCTAGATTAGATCGGACCATGTATTCTCTGTAGCACATATATTTTCCCCGTTCTGGGTTTTGATTGGTTCCATTTCCCCTTTCTCTCCCCTACTTATTGCTGTTGCTATTTTTGCTTTGTTTTAAAGTTTAAGATTGCCCACAGTTTCTAACCTGTAGGCTATTTGAGAAGATACTTACATTAGAGGCACACAACAAAAGCAGTTGGATATCCAACACATCCCTTTTGGTGTCATATGAACTGGAATTTAGTAGCAGGGGACCTTTCTGTTCCCAGCATGCAGAACTATCCTTAACACTAGCTCCAAGAGATCAGATGCCCTCTTCTAGCCTCCACAGTCACTACATGTATATAGTGTAGTTATCCACACGCAGGCACAAGACTCATACACGAAATAGAAATAAAAACCAAAAATAATAAGTAATATAATCTTTTCTTTAAAATTCTGAACATTTTCTTAGACAAAGAAAAGAGACTACTGAAGATTAAAAATGAAAGGCACCAGTATTAAATATTGAATAGGATTGTTACTGTATATAAGTCTCTTTTATTGCATTGTTTACTTCTGCTTTCACTAAACTTCTTGGGATTTAGTTTCACATAGAGCTAAAGGGGTTAGTGAGAAAGTGTGGAGGTAGGTGACTAGGGGAGTAGAAACCTCAGGCATCTTCTGGTTAGATCAGAGTTCCTATTTTTTTTTTTAAGATTTTTTTTAAATTTATTTACTTATTATGTATACAATGTTCTGTCTGCATGTATGCCTGCACGCCAGAAAAGGGCACCAGATCTCATAGATGGCTGTGAGCCATCATGTGGTTGCTGGGACTTGAACTCAGGACCTCTGGAAGAGCAGCCAGTGCTCTTAACCTCTGAGCTGTCTCTCCAGCCCCAAAGTTCCTATGTTCAATTAGAAATCTCTGTATAGTGAATTGTATTGGCTCAAAAATGATATTCTGGATATGATCTTAACTGTTTCAGTGGCTGTGTTAAAGATAACTGCATTGTAGTGCAGTGATTCTTGTGTATTGTACCACACGGGCTTTTCTTCCCAAGATTCAGAATGTTTTGTTGTTAGTGCTGGAATAGTTTCAGGTTTCATTGTGCTTCATATTAACTAAGGCAGTGACAGTTTTATGCATGGTGAAGTATTAATTGCCTTGGACGTTGTTATTTTAGATCTGTGGTCACTTTTCACTGGCCTGCGCTGGAATGTACATAGTCTTCCCTTCTAATGGTTGGAAATGCCCGTTCATTTCAGTAGTTCTATATATAATGGATAGATGAGCTGAGTTTACTCAGTAAATGGGTTTTAATCAGACCATCTGACCACTGTTTTGAGTAAAAAGCTTAAGTTTAGCATTTACTAGTTAGTGCTCAACAGAATTTGACTTTGAATTGCTAGGTTTCAGGTGGGCGGTTTATTTTTTAGGATTCATTTTATATGTATATGTGTGTATGGGAGTGTATGCTGCATGTCTGTGCCTGAAGAGGCCTGAAGAGGGTTGGATATACTACTTCTAAAAACATGCCCTGTTAACTGTGCTCAAGGAAATTGTATATCATGAAAATTTAGATCTTTCCAAATTTGTACTTTTTCCTTTTAGAACAAATTCTGTACAACATAAAACAGGAGTATAAGCGTATGCAGAAGAGAAGACATTTAGAAGCTAGTTTTCAGCAGACAGACCCGGGTTGTAGTTCTGATTCACAGCCACATGCATTTCTCATCAGTGGACCAGCGTCACCAGGTAATAAGAAACTTTATTTTTTTTTAAAGCCTTATTTTATGTGTAATGTTGTTAAGGTGTCAGATCGCTCAGGGACTGGATTTAGATACATTTATGCACTGCCATGTGGGTGCTGGGACTTGAACCCTGGTCCCCTGAAAGAGCAGTCAGTGCTCTTAACCACCCAGCCATCTCTCCAGCCCCAATAAGAAACTTTAATAAAAAGTGAAAGAAATGCTATGTGAGAAATTACGGGAGAAGAAAGGATGCAAATGCCCATAGTGACTTAAAGAACTTGTTTTTCCTCTAAGATTAAAAAAAATTATGCTAGTTATAATATTAAAGTAATCAGCACTTGGATTCCCAGCAACCAGACAGTCACTTTTATTAGCAGCCCTAAAGCGGACACTTTGTAAGTATAATGACTTGTAACTTCCGTTAAAAACTTTCAAAACACCCAATTTTATGTATTTTTATGCCTTTGTCTGTATGTATATACTTGAAAGTACTTTAAATGATCCTTAAAGAGGATGACTGTTTAAGGAAATATTTTTCTATGATGTATCTCATTATTTGATACTATCAGTGACTGTTAAATTAATAATATTTCAGAACTCAGAACCATAAAATACAGATGTTTTCCCTCCTACAGACTAGCCTAACTGGTGGCATTAATGAAAAACTGTTAGAGAAAAGTACACAGTTCAAAGAAATAATCATAAGAGCCTTCCTCCTTTAAGTCACAAAAATGGACTTTCTGAATGTTTGGTCATGAGTCAATTTGTTAGAGATATAGTTGATATCCTATTCGTAAAGTTTTTAATACAGATCTGCGCTTTCTGTGTTAACAATTTTCTCTTAAAACTTTTTAGTTACGAAAGCATGGAAGAAATATTCTTGCTAATTTGAAACTGACAAGCACTGGTGGTGCAACTGCTTTTGGATACAGCTGCATTAGTTTGATAACTTTGGTTCTGTTGCAGTTTTAAGAATGAATTTATGTGAATTAGATTATGTTAACGAATGAGATTATGATCACTATTCAAAACTTAGAATCAATTATGTTTTTAAATTAAGTATCTACATTCCAGAATTTTCCCTACAGTACTTTTTGTTTGTTTGTTTTTGTTTTCCGAGACAGGGTTTCTCTGGTTTTGGAGCCTGTCCTGGAACTAGCTCTTGTAGACCAGGCTGGTCTCGAACTTACAGAGATCCGCCTGCCTCTGCCTCCCGAGTGCTGGGATTAAAGGCGTGAGCCACCACCGCCTGGCGTACAGTAACTTTTTAAGACATGATTCTTTAATAGGACACTAAAGCGTTTGGAAAATGAGGAATATTGAAGTGGTGGCATAATCTGTTTGTGAGGCTTTACCGTATGGCCTTAAATATAAACAGCTGATAATAAAACAAGTGTCTTTTATAGAACTACTCTAATTTTAAACTGAAGCTTTAAATCAGTTATATTTCTTTTGTGGCTAATTTTGTAAATGAGCCACTAAACGTTCTAAGCAGGTATTTGCTGGGAGGACATTAAAAGTTTTGTAATGAGCTCCATCATTACAATAATTTTGTTTTGAGGTTTTCTCTATTCATCTTTAGGCTTTTCCTCTGGATAACATGTCTTTTTCCAGAGTCACAGCTGATCGAATTACTAGTTGGACCTGTTTATCATAAAGAATAAATTTTAAAGGACATGCACAGTTCTAATGAAACTTGCCTTCAGAGTGCATTCTGTTATGGTTCTAAATCAGGTGCTGTTTTATTTATGTTGTACATAGGGACTTCATCTGCAACATCCTCACCATTAAAAAAAGAACAGCCCTTATTTACTCTAAGGCAGGTTGGGATGATCTGTGAACGTTTGTTGAAAGAACGGGAAGAGAAGGTTCGAGAAGAATATGAAGAAATACTGAACACAAAACTTGCAGGTAACAAATGAATTTATTTTAGAATATCCCAGTGCTTTAGTCACTGTTCTGCTGCTGAGAAGAGACATCATGAAAGCATTTAACTGGGGGCTTGTTCAGTTTTAGGTTAGTCAATTATGGCCGCGTGCAGATAGGTGCTAGATTAATAACTGAGCACTACACCCTGATCCCTAGTAAGAGAGAAGGCCTAGGCCTGGTGTGGGCTTAGGAAACCTTGAGTCACTAACCAGCTCCCAAGTCTAGAGAGAGACTTAGTAGTTATGAAAGGTTGGCTTTACCTAATGCTTGTCCCACTAGCTCTTGTAATTTAAATTAACCTGTTTCTCTTCATCTACATTTGCCTCAGGACTTTTTTACCTCTTTCACTCTGTCCTACTCTGGCTATTTGGCTGCTCCCCCCCCCCCCCAGGCTTCTCCCTTTCTCCCTTTAATGCTCTTCTCTTCTCCTGATTCAATAAGTAGGAGGATTCGTCCTCCTAATTATTATCTCACCCTATAGCCCCTCCTATCTCTCTACTGCGTAGCTATTGGCCATTCTTATCTTTTTAATAGACCAGTCAGGTGCCTTGGACAGTTAAGGTAAAACAACGGATTACATATTTAAACAAATGCAGCATAAACAGATGTAACACATCTTTGCCTAGTTAAACAAATATTCCACAATAAAGACCAACCCCAGTGATATAATCAAATAAAATTTGATAGGGAAATTGTTCGACACTAAATATTGGAGTGTTGCCAGTGGGGGCTCTAGGTGTACCTTCTTCCAACAAGGCTATACCTCCTAATCCTTCTAATTTTTTCAGAGTTCCACTCTTTGGAGACTCAAATGTTCAAGTGTTCAAATATATGAACCTATTGGGTCCATTCTTATTCAAACTGCCACACCAAGAAACTGTTGTTAAGAACTGAATTATTCCCACCATATTTTATGCTGGTCAATATTTTCTGTACATTGACACAGTGTTGTCTATTAACCAAAGCATTCCAGCAAAAAAAAGGAAATCAACATTCTTAAAACCCACACCTCACTTTCATGGCCCTAGGGAAGAACTAGTTATGTTGATCAGCTGCAGTATTAGTAAATTTAAATTTTTATGTTGTATCCTGTGGATGTGGAAAACACTCTGTTTACAATTACTACTGAGGTTATGGGAAGGATGAAGGTGTTAAGAGTGCCTTCATGTAGCTTTATATTTTCAGATACATTACAAGGGCTATTTGCAAGCCATATAATTGACACATCTTTATTTGTAGAACAATATGATGCATTTGTGAAGTTTACGCATGATCAGATAATGCGGCGATATGGAGAACAGCCTGCTAGTTGTAAGTATTTGACCTTTGAACTATAAACTGAAATGTTTTCATATTTAAAAAGAGTTGACAAAAATGTATTGATGTTGGAGTTAGGGTAAAAAAAAATGTAGAGATAAGGTTGGTTTAAAACAGAAGTAAAATGCTCTTGGTCACTTAAACGCCTAGGGACGATGTTACAAATGAATTAATCTTATGTTTTATTTTTGTCTCATTCTTTGCACTAATACTCCTTTTCTCCTCCAGATGTTTCATGAATCACGCTTTTTGCATTTGTGGGCTGCCCTGTTCCTTGTTGAGTTGTTGCAGGAGGTCCCAACTATGACGTGCAACAATGCCAGTGTCCATCTGTGAATACAGGTTATTTCAAGCTTTCGTCAGTGGCAACCACTCTTAGGCAGCAGCAATTGGTTTTGGAAATTTCCGTGATGTCAATACCACCTGGATGTGGACCTTTGCTACTTGTATTAATACCAGTGGCTTCGTTTTGCTGTATCATTACAATTTGGCTTCTTTATATTAATGTTTGAAAGGGATTAAAGTTGGCATCTAGAACATGCCCTTCACTGGTTATGTAAATAAAGCTGTAGAATGACACGTCAGATGAAGTTAGTGTGATTTTAATTGTGCACTACAACCAAGCTGTAACCAGTTATTAATAATTTAGAATGTAATCCCAGGACAATTAAGCAGTTAGTCTACAGTACTTCTGTGAAATAGTGGAGGAGGAGAGGGCATTTCTGTATTTCAGGACTTTCATTGGGGTTTCAGAATGGGTTTATATGATTTCCTTTATTATTATTTTTTGGTAGTTCTATTTATTCTATCAGTCTTTTTAACAAATGTTTATTGCTGCACCCCCCCCTCCCCCAGTGTATCATTGTTTTACTGCCCTTGTAGCACTGGAGTTTAGTTGGAAAAATAAAACATTTACTTCTATTCTGCTTGTTTTCGAATTGTACACATGGGTAGTATTTGAATAAAGTAGTGTTTTAAATATAAGTATCTTCTAGAACTCAATAAAGTTAGTTTTCTGGTAAGGTTTACCTTTTATTAAATGCTGTTTCCAAAAATTAAGTTCTGATTCAGAATTGCTTCTGTAACTTGCTGTTGTACAGCAAGCTGCATAGCAAGATCTCAGTGTAGAATTTTTTACCTTCAATTCCAGTTTTAATGTTTTTGAATGATGTGTGATACATGACAAGCATGGCTGCTCTAGTTTTATACACAGTTTAGGGTAGAAAGAGTGTAGTTTTGCCCACAATTCCAGGCTATAATTCATCGCTGGGAAAGTCAAAACAAGAGGAAATGGCATCCAGGTAAGAGCAGAAAGCAATGGATGCACACACAGTACTGTTACCTTTCTCTTACAGCTTAAGGGCTGGTGCCACTTCTCTTTCAGGTTGGTTCTTCCTAATCAGTTAAGGCAATTCAGCCCCCCACAGGCATGTCCACAGGCCAACCTGATCTAGACAAACCTTGGCAGACTTAGAAAATCCTAGGTAGGTGGTGTTGACAAAATTAACATTAAAGGGGCTGGAAAGAGGTCAGCCTTTAAGAGCACTTTTTGCTTTTACATAAGACCCAGGTTTAGTTCCCAGCACCCACACAGCAGCTCACCAACAGATGCTCAAAGGTCACAAGATGCACACAGTATACACATACACTCTCAGGCACACACACCCCCCCCAAAACATTAAGTATTTTCAAAACACTAACATCACTTGAATGAATTAACACACTTTGCATTCATGGTTCTCAAAGTACGTTTCTTAGAGGAAGCTGAAACTGCTAGCCATACACTTGTACTCATGGTAGTGGGGAGACAGGAAGGAGGGTCAGGAGTTCAAGGCTAGTCTGGTCAGTATAAGGGGGAACCTCCCCCCCCCCCATCAAAAATATTGCTCAGTGAATTCTATTGAGTTTTAAAAAAAAATTTATTTATATATACGCATGTGTACCTGAGGCCAGAAGACTCCCTGTGTGGAGGCTGGGAGTCAAACTCCTATACTCCTCTGCAAGATGAGCAAGTATTCTTAACTGCTGAGCTATCTTTCTGGCCCCTTCTGAAGTGTAGTAGCATACTTCTAGTCGTTAGACTAGTCTTAAACATACTATTTCATTTGTAATACATTCACTGAAAACAGGATTTTGTCTTTTTAAATTAACTGCATTCCATAACTTCATTTAAAAGCAAGCAGCCAAAGTGTTGTAGGGCCTTCACAAGTATCCAGGCAGTTTGCAAGTCCATTAGTGTATGAGAAACAAGTCGTAATATGGCAGCTGGCTGTAAACTGGGCCTTTCAGTCTCAACACTGTTGGCATTTAGGATATATCTGCATTCTAGAGCGTTAACAGTAAGTATCTTTGGCCTCTCGTTAGGTGCCAGTTAAACTTTCCCCTCCCCACATTGTGCCAACAAGAGATCATATCTTTCAAATTTAGCCCTCGACACCTGGCTAGGAAAACATTCATAGAAGTTGAGAGAATTTTTCCTTCAAGTATAAGCTGCTATAAATTGTTTTCAAGAAGTTAGACTTGTAAATGCTAGCGCGTGTATGCTTCTCTGTGACCTCAGTACTATCAGTCCAAAGCAGAATGTCTACTGCATTCATAGCTCCTCATTTGCTGAGGGTTTTTAGCTCTAGTTCTCTAAGCCTACCTCCTACTTCCAGGATTCAAGATTCTAAGCTTCTGGAACAACTCTTAACTTTCTGGAAAGACAGCCTGTTATTGGAGCATTTCTTTATGCTACAATTAACATAACCTAGCCATTACAAGTTATAAACCAGATGGCAGGTTTAAAGTTTTAGGTGTTTATGTGTGTGTGCAGGTGCCCACAGAGACCAGAAAGAGGGTGGTAGATCTTTTGGAGCTAGAGTTATAGGTAGTTTTGAAGAGTCTGATATGGTTGGTATAAACTAAACTCTGATCCTTAAGAAGAAAAGCAAGTGTTTTTAACTAGTGAACCCCACCTTCAGCCCCTGAACTTGTAGTGCTTAGGGTAAACCTTTGTGTAAGACTATAAGGTGATGCAGTGGGTTCAATGTTATAAAGAAATAGTGAATAGCTTCTCCCCTGTTGCTGTCCAGTTTGAACACCTGGTTAGGTCATCTGGTATTAAATCCAATCAATGGGTAACATTTGAGCTTAAAACACCAAGATATTTCCTCAACTTCTTTACCGTCTGCTCTTATATTAACTTTTACTGTTTTCCTGAAATTTTAACTATAAATAAGCATAAACCTGAAAGCTATAGAGTTTGAGTTCCTTGCCTCTCTTTTCGATATTGATCTCTATTATAACAAGATTTGCCACCTCACTGGGTGACATTTCACTTAAATGCCTAACAGGATATCCCCTAATTTATATCCAAAGCCAAACTCATTTTTGCTGCTAATGTTTCTTTCAGTAAGTTAAGCCTTCTGTAACTATAATGAAATCCTCAGGAAGTTTATTTTATAATTCAGCATTGAAGGTTTCAGTGGTTGGTTGTCCTTGTTGCTTTGGTCTGCGATGAGGCAGCAGCATATGGCTGAGGGCAGTGTAGACCTAAACCACTAGCTCATCAGCCAGGGAGTGAGAGAGTAAAAAGGACCGGCAGTTGGATTCTTCTACAATTTCCTTGGGGTCCTTTAGGCCTTACTGACTTCCTAGACATTCCACCTGTCATCCTAGGGACTAAGCCTCACACATGGTCCTCTGGTCCTTAACCAAACCACAGCAGGCCCCGATAGAGCCATGCTGTTTTTAAGCAGAAAGGATCTTAGGCTTGTCATGTACATCCACCTGTAGTGTCACTGTCTCTCCTGTTGACCCTAGTCTAAGATTTGCTTTGCGGGATCATCTCAGTGGTCAACTATCAGGTTACTGCTTTCCTTCATCACTCCTCTAAAGGTACTGACCACTTACAGGTGTGTGCCTTTTGTTTAGGTTGTTTCCTACCTAAGAAAATAAATCTGTGGAGCTATGACCTGTACCCTGCCCTTCTCATTCACTTGCTATTGCTTGAGCCGCCTCACCCGTTCTGGATGTCCACTCCCACCTTAGGACACTTGTTATTTTTGCTCTCCTGCCTAGTGAGTGCACTCAGCACTTTCATGGGTCAGGTGGGTAGGTTTTTTTTTTTTTTTAACTCTTTATAGTTTTGCTCAAGTGAGATTTGCTCTGACCATTCTTTAAGAATACAATGCAAGCCTACTTCTTACCCCATTGTTGTTTTCTACCACTTGCTAAAGTATGAGGAAGACAAGGCTCTTTGATTTATGAAGTATCTCGGAAGGAGCAGATACACAGCACATGCTTGATATTTCTTTAACAAAGTACTTTAAGATTTCAGATTAGTATTTCATTAAAACAAGAGAAATAATCCGAATGAATGCCCTAATTCTAAGCTAGTTGAGGTTTCAGTTTTCCTCAGCTAAGGGCTGAATTTTCGAGAATGTCAAGTAATTATAACACATCATTTTAATGGTTTAGTATGACAAGTATTTTTGATATTATGAGAACAGTTCCTGTTGTGCTGCTCCTAATCTTAGATGGCAGAGAAAATCAGCATGCATATGGCATGTACAAATGTAGGTAAACACTTAGGAAAAGAACATGTGCCTTTGCAAGATAAAAATCTGCCAGTTAACGGTGTTAAGACCAGCCTCTGTATTTTACATGCATAAAATGTTGTATTGCTTAAAGAAACATTTTCTGATCTAGGCATAATGGTAAAAGCCTTTCTTTATAATCTCAGCACTTGGGGGAGATCATAAACTTGAGGCAGGCAAGCAGGCCTGGGGAATCAGTTTCTCAGTTTTATCTGGAATACATACATCTGTGTTGAGGGATTAAAATGAATTTTGCTCTCAGCGCAGGCCTGAGTTTAGTTCCCAGCACCCACATCTGGGGGAATCAACAGCTGACTCTAACTCCAGGTTTTTAGAGCCTGTTCTGGAACGAGCTCTTGTAGGCCAGGTTGTCTAACAGAGTGCGCCAGCACCACCCGGCTGTGAAGGCTTTTTAAAGAGTTTTGTTTTTCCCCTGAACATGGGCTCTCTGAATCACCTGTAAGGCAATTTTGGCATCCGTCTCTAAATTCTTTGGGGGGGGGGGGGTGTTGAACATTAAGTAAGCTTTAGGTGTCCAATCCTTGAGTTCTTTGCATGAAAGAGATCCTGATATTTTATCCGGGTCTTTATATTTCTGAGTTTTGTGAGCTTGGGTACACTTTGTGAAGGCCTTTACTAGCTGTGCTGTGGGTATCTTCAACTGTTCATGTGAATATTTTGACATTAAATGTAAAGCCAAACAGCAAGAAAAACACCTGTTTTTATTTTATACAATACGCATAGTGTGAGGAGTGAAGTATCTAGAGAAAGGCATGAGTACTGCTGACCAAGTGTAAGTAACTTACTCTGGATAAGAAAGTGTGTCATTTATACACTGTACACTCAATGCTTTGTTTAGAATTTAGTAATAACTGTAGCAAGTATAGTTACATTGTGTAGAAGCTTTTAGTCATTTATGCATTTGTTGATCAGATTTGAAGTACTCCAAAGTTGTTTTGATGCACTGATTTCAGGTTAGCAGTGCACTTTTTGGTTAAACTCAGCTCAGCAGCAGTTTCTTCTGGTAGCGTGTCTGATGTGGAACACCTGTCTTCACTTATTTGCTTTTTAGCAGCCTCCCCATGTCAGCCTTGCTACATGGTCAGTCTTCTGTTTTGTAGGTTTTATAAAGCCCAAAAGCTCTAGTTCAGAAACAGCTCTAATAAATCGAGCACTGGAGACTCTAGCTAAGGAAAATTAGTTTTTTTTTTTTTCACAAGAGGGCTAAAATTTCAAAGTTAAAACAGTAACTGGTAATTGAAATAGGTAGTTAAAATAATATTCCCTAAATTTTAAATAATCCTATTGGAAAATTTAAATGCAGTTAGAATACACTGCTAATAAAGTTCAGGTGGAGCTGTGTGGGATGGTGCGCACCTATAGCAATCCCAGCATTATATAAGAACTGACCCTTTCCCAATCTTCTAAAGATGTATTTACAAACTGGATATAAGTTGAATTCTAGGTTTGATCTCAGATTAATTCAGGACAGTTGGAAATGCAGGTGGTTGTAGAATGGTATGGTTGAGAAGTACATCTATGAATTACTAGATGTGGCTTTTTTTTGTTTGTATACTTTTTGTGCTGGGGCTTGGATTCAAGGCCTTACCTGTGTTTAATTAAGCACATGCTGTATCACTGACCTGGACTCTCAGGCCCAAGAAAAAAGAAACTTAAAAAACTTTTACTAAGACACCATAGGCCTGGTTTTAAAAGGATACTGGATTATTTCATTCATTTCTTCTGAGCTTGTAGAATTTGCATCCATTTTTTCAGCAGCTGTCACAACTGTTGCAAAAGCCTTTTGAGTACACAAGAAAAGAAAATTTGTTGCTAGGCATCTTTTCTGTACTAATCAGGCATTAGCACTGCTGCTATAGATTAACTGGCGCATCTTTTTCATGCCAGACTTCAGATTCTCAAAACCATACTAATATAACACTGGCTCTTTATGAGCTAGTTTTAGAGAACTAACGCAGAACAGCAAAAAACACAGCTAGTTAAAAATTTAAAAAGCAGCTGGGTGGTGGTGGCGCATACCTTTAATCCCAGCACTCGGGAGGCAGAGGCAGGGGGATCTCTGTGAGTTCGAGACCAGCCTGGTCTACAAGAGCTAGTTCCAGGACAGGCACCAAAGCTACAGAGAAACCCTGTCTCAAAAAACCAAAAAAATTTTAAAAAAAAAAAATAAAAAATAAAAAGCAAAGCTGTTTCTCTTCTTTCAGTCTTACTCCAGGAAGATGCATTTTTCTTGGTAAGAGGCTAATTCAGCACATCCTTTAATGTTGAGTTAAGATCTCTTTACTACTCTTCTCGGGATAGCAGGCAGCACTTGTCCTTTACCTTGCTGGGCAGTTCCTGAAATGTTCTTCCTGACTGGAACTTTTCCTGTTGTACAACGCGTACTCGTTACACCCTGTATCTTATGGAGTGCACAGACTGACTGGAGTCTTTGTTTGCTTTTAAAGAATGCAGGATAAGAACAGGAGCTTGTGAATACAGACTGCTAAGATGCTACTTCCTAAGGAACTTCTGAAGTGTAACAAAATTTGTTTCCCAAACAAAAATGAAAAAATAAAAACTGAAATCAAAACAATGAAAAGTTGTAAGAGCCTTTCCTGAAGCGGTTGTGACCTACCTCTGACCAGTCGACCAGGTTAATAAGCCGGCTACACTCTAGGTGCAGTTTGTATGCGATGCAGATGTCGGGGGCAGTGTTTGGAATGCAGCCTTCCTCACTTTTCAGTGCTTCATTCTAAAAACGGTAGATTAAAAGTGAACCTTTTAGAAACGATTAGCTGAACTTCCTGAAAGAAAATGGCCCACAAAAGACGGTGGTACTGTTAGGAGGACGTGTGTCACTGTAAGGGTGGGCTCTGAGGTTTCCTTCCCCAAGCTTCCCTGGCAAGGCTGTCGCTCCTCTTGCCTGCCTATGAAGATGGAAGGAGTCTCAGCTCCAGCACCATGCCTGCCTGTATGTCAGCACGCTCACTGCCATGATGGACTTAACCTGACACTGAGAGCCGCCACCACGATTAAACGTGTGCTTTGTAACAGTTGCTGTTGTCATGGTGTCTACCCAAACTAAGACATCCTAAATTTAGCAAATTGGAAAGTAGAATCTTTTAGTTTCCTTTCTTCATACTTCAGGAGTGAGTATTCTTACTTGGGTTTAAGTCTTGGCCAAGCTCTCAGTCATTCTTTCAGCAAGGTTTTTTTTCTCCTAAATCTTAATTATACATTATTATTTGTTGAGACTACCAAAACACATTTCAGTTGGCTTTAATTAGTTTAGAAGTCTCTGGGATGGTTACCCAATGAAATGCTCCTTCCAACTGTTTAAACTCAATTCTAGCAATCATCATGTGGCATTAGTAAAAACATCTCATTAATAGAAAAGTAAAAAGTTATCTCTCAAAGAAAAAGACTTTGCTGTCAACAGTGTACTTTTTTAGTTTTTGGAAACATATAGCTTGGGCCAGCCATCATAACCCAGGTAGATATTTATTTTTGTTTATGTGTATGAATATGTCTATGTGAGCGGATGTCCCTTAAGTACAAGCACCTGCAAAGACCAAGAGAGGGCACCAGAAAAGAGCTGTAGGCAATCGACCAGTGAGCCCTAAACTCGGTATTGGTTTAACCTATTTGTAACCCATGTTTTTATTAAGAAACAAATTCCATACACAAAATGCATCTAAAATTACATCACTTTTTTCTGTATTTCTACCACTAAACATTTTAATTTGTAATTTATACATTAAAACTTTTGTTCCTAAAAAAATTAATTCATTTAGTCGGGGGTGGGGGTGGGAGACTAATTTGCAGGTGTTAGGCTTCCCTCCAGTTTGAGTTTCAGAGAGTGAGTTTAATCAGGCTTTTGCCTACTGACTGAACCATCTAACCAGCCTCTGTTATTTAAATATGAAATTACCAAGAATGGAGAGTAGGCTCAGGGTGAGAGCACCTGCTGCTATAGTGCCTCCTCCAGGCAGCTCCAGGGCCTCTTGTGGGCACTGGGCTAACACGAGCTCATACACACACACATAATTAGAACAAGTCTTTAAGTACAAACCCATCAAGCTCCTGATGACCACTGCCATTGAAAACCACTGCCATTTAACTTCCTACGCTGTATTTCTTCCCATACTCATGTGCTACTTTGCCATGAGCTGGCCGTAGTTTGGGATATTTTTATGGGACATGCTTTTAATTAAAAATTATTATGTGTATATGTATGAGGAGGTTGTGGGGATGTATGAGGATGCATGTGCTATGTGTAGTACATGTGAAGGTCAGAGGACAACTTTGTGGGATCCACTTTTACATGGCTTTGGGATGAAACTCAGGTTCTAGTTTTATTAGTAGGTAATCACTTTAGGCCCTTTATCCACTGAGCTCTGTGGCTGCCCACTTGGCTGGCCCTGAACTTGATGATCCTTTTGCCTGCGCCTATGCAGTGCTACCACTCCTGACTTACAGTGCCTTCTAAAACATCTTTTGTGAAAGGCAAACTTCTGGCTCTTCCTGCGCACACATGACCATGCAGGTACAACAGCCCTATCCATCTACAAAAAACCTTATCATCTACCAAAAAAAACCTGTTTATTTAACTGTCATAAGAAAGGTAGCTCTCAGCATCTGAAATGAATTAGCAATGGTCTAGGTTTTTGGCAGCTGTCTGCCACTGTACGCCCGAGGAGTTTCTGCAGCAAAGCCCTACAGCTGCTCGCAGCAGATGACTCTTAGGTTTAAAAGCCCAAGATGAAACCCGGAGTAATTTTTCCATTTAAGGGGGCTGGCTGCTCTTCCAGTGATCCTGAGTTCAATTCCCAGCACCCACATGGTGGCTCACAACCATCTGTATTAGGATATGATGCCCTTTTCTGGCCTGCAGGTGTGCATGCAGAGTACATAAGAAATATATAAATAAAAAATTTAAAACTTCTCATTTTAAGTAAGCATTTGTAATTTTACACATGTTCATTAAGTCTTATCACCTGTCCACCGACAAACTATTACCTACCTACAAAGGAATCACTTTTCACAGGAGTAAGGCATTATATTGTAAAGCTTTATGCCTGTAATTTGTTTAAAAACTTTTGTGTGGGGGGGCATGCATGTGTGTAGGTCAGAGGACAACTTTTGGAGTCAGTTCACCTAAGTCTAAGAATCTATTTTTTTCCTTTAGAAAATGTGAGTGCAGAACCCAGAGCTGCTTCTTTCATTACAGCAGAACTGCAAACTTTGAATATTTTTGTGGTGCTGATATCTGGGACTTGAGCTTAACTGTGGGAGAATCAAGTTTCCTTCTTACCTTAAGATAATAATAAGGATTGTTGAGTGCGGTGTGGAGGGCAATTCGTGGAGCAGCATTTAAGTGCTCACGGAGTGTGTGGGCAGCACTGAAGTATATTACCTCATGCAAAGGCTGGCTCTCAGGAGGCAGAAGGTAAACTCTGAAACAGTGAAATCAAGTATCAGATTTTAGATGTATGTGTATAGAGTTATTTTCAATTCAACGGTTCTGTCAAGCCTCTATGTTACTTAAACAGTGAAATCCACAAACCAAAGACCAAAACTTATACTTTAATACTACTTTTAAAACTTACTCTGTATCTTTTTGGCTGCTCATGGTGGTCTACTTGATTACGTAAAATCTTAATTACATAAAATGCAAGTAGCTGTGTGCTCCCATGAGGCATTTTTCTTTTGGATCATTTGAGGTAGGAAAACCCACGTTAAATCTAGCCCACACCTTAAGGCAGTCCATAAGAAGGGAATGGAAGAGAACTTCATCTTTTTTATTTTGTTTTGTTTTGTTGAGACAGGGTTTCTCTCTGTAGCTTTGGTGCCTGCCGTGGAACTAGCTCTTGTAGACCAGGCTGGCCTCAAACTCAGAGATCCACCTGCCTCTGCCTCCCGAGTACTGGGATTAAAGGTGTGCACCACCACTGCCCAGCAAGAACTTCGGCTTTTTGCCTGCTTGCCCTCGTTCTCATAGAAGTTCATACATCCTTTTGCTGAGGCATTCCTTCACTGGTTATTAGCGTCTACTTCTTCAAGGCTCTGACATAATGAAGGCTAGAGCTGAGACATCAGCCTTGTGGGCTGAACAACCATTGGACTGGATTCCTGGGACTTTCCATCAGGATCATGCAGCCTGTAAGGCACTCCAATAAATACTCTGTATACTCATGTGCATACACACATTCTATCAGTTCGGTTCCTCCAGAGAACTCCAATATAGTACTCCTAAGAAGAAACTATGTGTTTCAGTTCTAAGTTAAATGTTTAGTCAAACATTTGAACATTTGTTATATTTATGCTTAAAATCTCTAATGGAGAATTTCTTGAAGTATTACTGAATTTCCTAAGTTACTCAGAAAACATATCAACATTTCTACCATAGCAAGCATCCTAGGCTTTGGGAAAGTGGTAAACAGTACTGAGTTTAGAAAATCTTTAGTATCAGGAAAAAACACAGTTGATATTTTTCATCGAATGATATCCAGGAGCTTTTTTATTTTTTTTTTTTAAAGTAGCTAAATCGGGGCTAAAGAGATGGCTCATTGAAAGCAACTGCATTACAAATGTGAACCTGAGCCTGAATTCCAAGTACCAATTCTAAAAAGCCAGCTGTGGCCTGGTGCATATGTAACCCCAATGCTGAAGGACTGACATCTAAATTCAGGTTCAGTGACAGATGCTGTCTCAGAGGACACCTGATGACCTCTGGCATACTCACACACACACACACCAAACAAAAAAAGAAAAAAAAAACCTCTAAGGCTAAACTTTAGTTTTAAAGTCTTTAAAAACAAATTGTTCACTAATAAAATTCAATTACAAAGCTGAGCATAACTTCTAACTTCATCTTTTGCTGATGAGCTAGACGACAAACTTCCTTTTAATCTGTGCTGAGTCAGTGGCGGAGCCATGACTGACAGTCTGGAGGCCTGCAGGGAAGCCTGCTGGGCAGAAGCTCTGGCACACAAAGTGCAAAGGCAGAACAGTAGGTTCTAACCTGGACCAAAACAGTTAGCTCCTATGAGTCTTGGAGTCCTATGCCTACTGTTTTGCTGCTCTCTGTGGCCAAAGAGGAGAGGAAGGGAAGAGGGCACTGGCCATGCAAATCATTCCTCACCACCACCTCCTTCTACCTCAAGAGTTCCTGACCCTTCTCATGCTGCGCTCAGATGCTGGTCTTTCTCCACAGTGCGCTTGTAAAGCAACATAGATTTTGAATTACCAGTCTGCTTGTATTTCATTTTAAATACCTTTTCTCCAGACCTCAAAGCTCTGTCCAACATCTGTACTCTAGGTCTTGTGGAAAATATGGAAAGGGTTTCCAGCAGAGCAGCGCCTGCGTGGCACAGGCAGCCTCTCTCTTAGCTTACTTGCCCTCTTTCTCTTCTGTTTCCTTGCACTTCCTTCTTCCCTTTCCGCTTTTAGCTTTAACAGACTACAATCTTAATCTCCTTCCTGGGAGAGACAGTCTTGGTAACAACACCAAGTCTTTGTGTGGGAAACTTTGTGATTTCACAACCAATTTTCAATCATTCTCGTCATTATTTCAGCAGCTGGTGAAAGGTTGAAGAGTCAGATGTAACAGGCAAGAAGTCAGAAGACTGGCTGGGTGGTTGGAGAGCCTCAAATGCTGGGTTACAGGCACAAACCACCACATTCTGCTCTGCTTTTGACTGCTTAAGTCATTTTCCTTGGTACACGTTCCACTTTAAAATCTGTAACATGGTCCAAGCTTCCAAAAGGCCACTTGGATGGATAATTTCATGTATACACATAACACTGTCCTTTGGGAAATACACAAAATGGTCTTCCCAGGAAAAATCACAAAACAAACTCGAATAGGAGCCTTTGATAGTTACTCGTCAGACACTTCAATGCACATTTGGTGCTGATATTTAGTTGACCTGACAAAATATTAAGAACAAAACAGTAACATGGCTAGTATACAATGTCTGTTTCTTGGCTTAGGCCAGATTCAGCATTTACTACTTAAATAGGCAGAAAAATGATAAAAGTACAATGCAAAACAGGAGAAATACTTTGAAACTTCCCATATTTCCTCATCAGCCTAATGGGCTAAATGAAGTTTAAACCTGCTTTCTTCCTAACAGTAAAAAATTAACCAAACAATTTGATTAAATAACTCAACAAGGACAGAAGGTCAATAAAAAGTGCTAACTCTACTTAGATGGAAGAAACATCCATGGGCAGCTAGTTACTAGTGTTATTTGGAAAAACAGGGTTACTTTTAGGTCTTGAGAGCCTCAGACTCACCTCACCAGGTTGTCGATGAAGTTCACAACATTTTCTCTGAGCATTTCAAACTTGGTTTGCTTCTTAGTTGTTCTCCTTAATTCCTTCATTTCCAGTAAGGACTACAGGGCACAGTGGGGAGTGGGTAAACAAACATGCTATTTTGGGTGAGTTTAGGAGAGAAACACTTTCAGAGAGAGCTGGCACTTGAGTAAAGATGCCCTTACGCAGAGTACAAAGAACCAGATCTTTTTATTTTCTGTTAAGACTCTGCCCTCTACATGTTCTGCTTTAAACATACAGCAAGGAAAGAAGAGAGCAGTTTACTGCACTGCTCAGGATTACAAGAGTGCTCACTACTTAGAAAGCGTTAGTTCATTTACGAGTATGAGGGAGCATGCCAGAAGAGCAAGGAATAAAACACCATCCATTACCACCACAGCTTTGGGTCACATTAACAACAGATTCTCTGGATTTAGTTTTTATCCAGACTGAAATTCTGTGCTACATTTATAACTTAGTAGTATGGTACAAAGAAGAGTCTTCATTTGGCAACCGAGGGCTGAAAGTGCATCATCTGAGAACAACAGACTGTGGCTCAGTTTTGTTTTTGAATGGTAATCCAAAAAGGAAAAAACAGAGATTGTAGTTCAGTGGTAGGGCTCTAGCTGATGGAGACATCCTGGGTTTGGTTCCTGCATCATAGGTAGGTGTGTGTGTGTGTGTGTGTGTGTGTGAGAGAGAGAGAGAGAGAGAGAGAGAGAGAGAGAGAGAGAGAGAGAGAGAGAGAGAGAACTGGCCTTAGGCTCTCTCAACTCTCGGATCAAAGAAGTAAGTACATTATATCTACATATTCTTTTCGTAAACCACAGACCTATTTTTTCCTTACAGTTAATACTGTTTTCTTCCTTGAGGCTTCAGGAATGGTTTCTATATTACCCAGTAGACTGCAGACTGTGTGCATGTACAATCTAGGATGATAGTGAGACAGTAGAACAGTACAGAATGGAATCTGCCTCTAGGTGGAGACACCGCCAGTCTTCTCACAGGTCAAGGTCCTGGCTGGGTGGCACTCCTAGTGAGGCTGGGTTCATTTCCATTAAGATAGTGTGGTTTCCTCTGCAGCATTCCTAACATCTAGTCACTAAAGAACCTCCCTGCCGTTTGGCTGGGCCTGTCTTTCTGAGTATTGCATCGGACATACTTATTCCTTTTTCTTTTGCATGCTGGCCAGAGCCTACGCATGCTTTTTAACTTCCTTACCCTTCCATATTCTCTAAAGCCACCCTTCCTGTCCTGTGGCTGCCTGCTTATTTTCCTATTTTTGTCCTCTAGACCACTGATAATTTTTTTTTTCATTAATAAGAGAAAGGACCCCAAACAGGACCTCAATTTCCCTGGTATTGTATGATGGTTCCTCAAGATTTCCTGCAATACTCCTTCTCTGCCTTCTAATTCTTCAGCAGGCACAGAAAACCAACCCCGTCTTGTAGTTTATATGGCATCAATAGGTCTCCTTTATCAGTTGCAAAGTTACTGGTTGTGATGTAAAGAAATGAAAGTGGAAACATTCTGGCAGAGCTGGTCTAGACCAGATGGAACAACACACCACTCCTAAGGCAGCTGGAAGGTAAAGAAAGATACCTAACCTTCTGAAGGTGATAGAGGTCTGTTTTCTGCAGCCCCTTTGGCTGGGATCCACAAGCATCCTCTTCCTCTTTGCTATCTGTTTTGAATACAAAACCAATATACAATAGAGGGAAAAACATTTACACTAATTCAATGGGAGTAAAAGTTACACTTTTCTTTTTAACATGAACAAGATTCTATCAGGCAAATGACACTCACTCCAAAACTAAAAGCACTACATAGTACACAGTTTAGATGTCAGTAAGGTCTTCAACTACTAGCTACTGAATTCTGAGTGTGTTTTGAACTAACAAAGTAAAAGCCTGCATAAATATCTTTAAAAAAAAGTCATTCAAACTTGAAACTATGTCTCTTTGACCTCCCTAGACTGTGAACATGGTAAGCTACATTCTGACAAACCTAGTCTCAGCCTTGCAATTTAATATTCATTCCTATTCAGCATGAGGAAGGTAATGTAAAAGCTGTAGTAAAATCAGTTCGATAACTGATAAAATGTATAACTATGCTTCTGTAGGGGATGACATGCTGACTTGGTAACCTGACACTGGGCAATGATCTGCTTCATGTATGGCTGAAGAATTCAGCTTAAAAACACACACACACACACCTTCTTAAAGAATCAGAAGATAGCCGGGCGATGGTGGCGCATGCCTTTAATCCCAGCACTCGAGAGGCAGAGGCAGGCAGATCTCTGTGAGTTCGAGACCAGCCTGGTCTACAGAGCTAGTGCCAGGACAGAGGCTCCAAAGCCACAGAGAAACCCTGTCTCGAAAAACAAAAAAAAAACAAACAAAAAAAAAAAGAATCAGAAGATAATCCCTGATTTTAAAAATGCTAGGTTAAGATAACTACTAGCTAAATTCTTTTTTCCATTTTATTAACTTGTAGCAGGACCTTAAAAGTAATTGTAACACTCAGCCTGATTTAACATCCTCACCCCATTTAAATCCCAATTATAATATGCCACTAGTGTACAGAAACCAGAGGTTTAAAATAACCAAATATTTCTTCCTGTGAGAAATGTTGAGTGTATTTTATTATTAAGAATTGACTTTTAAAAAAACTGAGAAATAGACAAATCACCAGGAGGTGGTTTTGCTTTAACTCAAAAAACACTTTATTTTTTATACTGTTGTCAATCATTTTAATCTTTAATCTTTCGTTTCAGAAGCTGTGATCCTTCAGTGCTAGTGTAACAATGGATCTGTTCACTAATTCATCTCACACAAAGTCTAATTAAAATTATTACAGTATCATGGTATCAGTTTCTTCTTAGAGAATTTCTGAGTCCAATTTATTTTATATTCTATACTTTTGGCGATACTTATATTCTTAATAGTGGCTTCTCACTGGTGAAACTACAATTGTGAACTGATCTCTCTCTCTCTCACACACACACACATACACACACACACACACACACACACAGACCTGGAGGTCAAGAAAGCTGGGTTAAAGTCTAGGTACATATTAGATAGCTGTGAAATATCAAACAGCTTACTTTTTCTTCCTAGATTTCAGTTTCTAATATCTAAAATGATCTCAATTTCTAAAATTTTTACTTTTGTAAAGTGTTTCAGGTCATTGTTAAGGTGTTAAAAGATCACCACACATATTTTGGAGGGAAGTCTTCTTAGCACCTTTGTAGAATTGCTCACCCTGCCTGTTTGTACCAAACCACTTTGATCTTTTATAATTGAGTTCTCATCAGAGACTAGCCTGCATAAAAGATACAGGAAAGATTCCCACAAAAAAGTTTCCTTAGAAAAAGGAACTTCTCATAAAAAGGAGTTTAAAGACAAATAATCAACTACCAATCACAGAAGGGATTCAAACTGCAAACAAAGTATTTTTGAGATGCCATATCTAATTCTGTTGCCTCTGTATCAATCAAGCCTCTTTCCTTGGCCCCATCCCAACACCCCCTAGATCAGGAAAGAGTATAAAATGGTCTAGCTGAAGAATCAACTGTCTCTAGGTATGTCCACCCAATTTCATCTCAAGAACAAAAATGTTCTTCCTCCATTTAATTTTCTGCGTTGTTTAAGCAAATCTAGAGGAGAAGCACCTTGCCTATTTGTGGTTGCTGAGATGTGACATTCTGAGCCTTGCCTGCTGGCTGAGCTTGAAGAGTTTCAATGCCATTCTGGTTCAAAAACTGTCATGCCAGCAAGAATGGGCAGCATTTTACACTTACTTACCATCAAGGTTCTGAAACTGGGTCAGGAAATCCTTTACTTTTTGTGTTGTGCTGCCAAGCTGCTTTTCAGCAAAGGAACTCAAAACCTCACAGCACTTCTCAAGCACGCTCACCAGTTCATCCTTTGCCAGCATCCTACAAAACAGTCAGTGGCAGAGCTGACAGAAATAAAGCATTAACACACCCAAAATGTTTTTGTTAGAGATGAAATAAAAAAGAGACTTTGTTCAATGTTGCGTTTAGAAGTATAGAATGATAACAATGTGCTTAGCGGAGGGAGTAGCCAGAGGTCTGTGTTTATAACCTGGTTCTGATTCTGTAAGAACAAGCTCCTTACTTCTATCTGGTCCTTGGTATCCTTATCTGTAAATGGGAACAACACTTCACTGTGTTATATGGCAACCTCCAAACTGAAACATTCCCTTCTGGGTGGAGGCTCAGGAAATAAATGAAGCCTACAATGCTTGAGCAGAAAATAGAAGTCATGGGTTCCAGAAACTTAGAAAACAAACAGTACGTATGAACTTTGAATGTATATAGTAAAGAATTAGTATATCAAAATGTCTAAGCTACAATGGGTAAAATCAGATGGTGGCACTGATTTAGATAGTAATAATATGCCAACAGAAAAGGAAAAACATTCAAAAAGAGATCAAGGAATACATGGAAGTTAAGTATATATCACAGGTAGCATTTCAAACCACTGGGGAAGCTATGCCAGGTGTCAGAAAGCTATAGAGCACCACTTCCCATTTTATACACAAGTCTATTCTGACAGAGGAAAAATGTATGCTTTGGGAACAGGAAAGAAACAGCTCATCCCAGAAGAAGCAAAGATGCTAAAGCCAGGGCTGAAGAGATGGCTCAGTGGTTAAGAGCATTGTCTGCTCTTCCAAAGGTCCTGAATTCAATTCCCAGCAACCACATGGTGGCTCATCTGTAATGAGGTCTGGTGCCCTCTTCTGGCCTGCAGGCATACACACAGACAGAATATTGTATACATTAAAAAAAAAAAAAAAAAAAAAAAGACGCTAAAGCCAAACAAAACCATTTGTGAAGAAGCAGACACACTGTTAGCACCACATGCCCCGGGCAAATCAACTTTATAGTTTACTTTCAGAAAGTCTACATCCATGTATTCATTTTGTGGAAATAATTACACAAATGTATATACACACGTGCTTGTCACTAATGTTTGTAATAATGAAGAATTAGGAACAACCTAAATATATATCAAGTAATTAAATTTCTGATTAAATTAAACACATTCCCAAATGCAGGATATTTGAAATAATGAAGTGAGACAACATACAGGCTGATGCCAACTTACACACGTGTATCATGTCACGAAACAATACTCTGTGAGATACTATTATTATTCCCATATTAGATACAAGGAAATGGAGGCACAGAGAATTTAAGTAACTTGTTCAATGCCCCAAAACTGGTCACTGACAAAGCTGAATTTTGAACTTAGAGGGGGCAGAATGAATAAAAATTCCTCCTTATCTTTTCCAGGATGACATTTCAAGCTTGCATCACCAGAGCCAGCACCATGCATGTTCTGACTGATCATACACACTGTAGCTCAAAACACTGTCCATGCTAGGACACCTATGCACCCACTCTGAACTACATGCAAAAGGTTGATTGTTACAGAAAAATAAAAGCACAATAAAGAGATAACCACAGCAGACAAATGGGTTTCCATTGTAAATTGGTCAAGTGATAAAATATATCTAGGATAATGGGGAGTGAGTTCTATTAATATTAGAGAAGTGCTTTTGTGGTAGGTAAATCATTAAGCTGCAAAGGTGGGTACATATGGCATGTCTGGCAAAGGTAAGGCCATGGAGACAGTGCTATGGAGATGCAGTCACAAAGAAGCAATAGAGCTGGGAACAGATAGATCACTGTACAAACTAAATCTTTTACTCTGCGTGAAATGAAGAGAACTAACGGTCTTATGATTGGCATAAAGGTAAACAAAAGATCTCAAAGCTGGTTAGGCACTAACTAGCCAAATTAAAAAGATTAAAGAAAAGCAGGGCTCTAAAAATGAAATCTTTACTGCTAACCAATTTTGGTTATATTTGGCACCAAACCAATAGATTTAACGGTTTATAATGAGCCAGTTCATGTCCAAGTGTAAAGCACATTAAGCTGGTAAACTGTTCAGCGCTGTTGGGGCTCAGAAGCTCTGGAAGCACAGACTCCAGAAGACACACAAGGAAGTGAGAAATAGAAGGCTGCTGCATTAATTACATTAGTACCACCAGAGACTGCACACACAGATTCAAAAGGCTTTCAAATATTCTCAGGTACAACAGGCCGTGTAGGAAACTTTTGGGCAGACAGAATTCTGGAGGAAGGTGTTACTTACTGGCAGGCCTAATGCAGACAAAAAAGGAACAAAACCAAAAGATTACCTCAGCAGCTGCAAGGCTGAAGTGTACTCCTCGGAATCCCACACATTATCTTCCAGACATGTGCAATATAGCTCCCTGATCTATAAATGAAAGATAGGATTAATGAGGAATAAAATTCACCCACTAAGTTGCCTACCAGCTAGGCAAAATATACATAGCAAACAAAAAATGATATTAATAAAAAATTTTCACTAAATTGTAAGGGACTTCTTAGTATATATTTCACTAAATTACAAGAGACTTCTTGGCATATATTGGATCAGACACTACAAAAATATAAAAGTCAAATGAAACTGTACTGGGAGTGGCTGACACCAGTCACTTATATATCATTAAAGTTGGAATAAATGGCTGACTGAAGATTTAATAGCTAAGTTAGCAGAAATTCCCACAGGTCATTCCTCGATTTGATCTCTTAAACTCTTAGCTAAAGATCTAAAAATTAAATATTCTATTCACATGCCACATAGTTCATAAGTTTGGGGTATAATACAAGGTCAACTGAGCAGAGTACTGTGTTTTAATTCTTGGTAAAAATGCAAGGTTAACCACTAAATTATTATTATTAGATAAATTTTAAACAGATTCTACCTCTCAAACTAACTCCCCCTGTGCACAGGACAAACGAAGTGCTGGGGTTGTGTTAGCAAGGTCACAAGCTACAGCACAAATGCAGAGGAGACGAGCCACTGGGAACACATGGCTATTTCTAGCTATGACTTTCAGGAAAAAAACAAAACTAAAGAAACAAACAAACAAAAAAACCCAATTTATATTATGAGTAATGTAATAAGCTGGAATAGATTGTGTTCTTGGCATAAGAATTGGCTCCATTTGCCTTAGTGTTAGAGAAATCAAAACAAGAAAGTACTATTATTCCTACGTTGTTGACCCCAAATGAAGAAATTTTATACCTGCCGACCCAGTGGGTACTTGGGAAGACAAGAGGTAAAATTATGAAGACATCTCAAAACAAGGAAGTAATTCATATGATAAACATGCAAGTTTTCCAGTAATAATTGAGTTTCCTCCTAAAAAAAAAAAAGAGTACACTAATAATATGCAAGGCAGTAAAATAAAATTTAAACATTTATCGATATATACTTTCTAGAAAATGAATGAGTGTTTAGAACTATGAATTACTTTTCTTAATTCGTGAAAAGCTGACATATACATCAAATTCAGGACACAGTCCAGGCAGGTTTTTAGTACCACACATCAGAACTGTATTCTGATGTAATTTAGCGTCTATCCTGAAACCCACTCCACCGATTACACACTTAGAGCATTTTTATCCTCTGTCTGCCACTATTAAGCAAGGAAGCGCCACAGTTCTCCTCAGCATCACTGAAACAGCATACTGCCATAGTTCTGGCCAACAGTTCAACTGAGAGCTCCTTTGTGAATTTTATCTGTGACATTCCTGTGGTCCATAAGCAAATACAGTGCAGACCAATCACTGCTTATAATCCACCCATAACAGGACCTTATTCTAGAAGAGTGAGGGAAAGAGGAGTGTAATAAATAAGCCAGACTCTTCAAAATCTTGCATCAGGCCGGGCAGTGGTGATGCACACCTTTAATCTCAGCACTCGGGAGGCAGAGGCAGGCGGATCTCTGTGAGCTCGAGGCCAGCCTGGTCTACAAGAGCTAGTTCCAGGACAGACTCTAAAGCTACAGAGAAACCCTGTCTCAAAAAACCAAAATTTAAAAAAAAAGAAAGAAAGAAAGAAAAAAAAACCCTTGCATCAAGGCCAAAAGAAAGAAGAGAAGAAAAAGGCCAAAGCATACAGTTGTGCATGTGGGCACACTCATTCAACAGCTCCCAGTTTGTCCTCTGAGCTGCAGGATGGCTGCTTCTGCAGTGACAGAGTTGAAGAAGTTGAAGTGAAGATGATTACTGAAGACAACATATCATTCAATCACTGGATTAGGAAAAATTAAGGTGGTCCTGAGCTGCAACCCTTCTTCCTGAGGGTTAGCTCTCAGTGTGTTGGAAGTTGCCAATGGAGAAAGGTTATTAACAGTTCTACCTCACGGGACTGGAGAGATGGCTTAGAGGTTAAGAGCACTGGCTGCTCTTCCAGAAGACCTGGGTTTGATTCCCAGTACCCACATGGCAGCTCACAACTGTCTGTAACTTCATTCTAGCTGATCCAGCTCCCTCACATGGATATACCTGAAGGCATGACACCAATGCACATTTAAAAAAAAAAAAAAAAAAGGCTTTGTGGGAGCCTAGGCAGTTTGGATGCTCACCTTACTAGACCTGGATGAAGGTGGGTGGTCCTTGGACTTCCCACAGGGCAGGGAAACTTGATTGCTCTTTGGGCTAAGGAGGGAGGGGGACTTAATTGGGG